TATATATAAAGTTAAAATAGGTGGGAAGTACTGTAACCTCGTAAATAATTTCCTCTATTTATGTACTAGCTTTCCAAATTTCATTGATCCTGCAAACAGATAAGCAGTTCTCAATACAGATTCTCTTCCTCTCATGCACGTAGAAAACAAATTTCACGACAGTCTGCTGAGCAACCCCATCTAGATCTCCTCACCTTTTCCAGCGCATTGTTCAGGTCCTTCTCATGCTCTGGGGGAGTTCGCAGAAGCAGAACCTCGCAGGCGTCCTTCAACAGAGGGATGACACTGAGGAAAATGAGAGTGGCAATGAAGAGCGAGCATATGGGGTCAGCAATCAACCAGCCGAACTGCCGGATGAGGATGGTGGAGATGATCACGCCAACGCTGCCCAAGGTGTCGGCCAAGACATGGAGAAAGACACCTGGAGAAAAATAAATCAATAAATCATGACTTTATCTAGCTTTATGTTTCTCACCACAAACCACGTTCTCAAACACACACCTCTCATGTTGGCATTCATGCCTCCAGAGCCGTGGGAGTGCCCGTGTCCTCCGTGGCCGCCATGCCCGTGGCCTCCGTGCGAGTGCCCGTGGCCTCCGTGGCTGTGCTCACTGTGGGAGTGGCCATGATGTGAGTGCCCGTGTTCGTGTGACGAGCAGCTTTTCCCGCCATGGGAATGAGCGTGACTGAAAGCGCAGATGCCCACTAGGTTGACGAGTAAGCCTCCAACAGACACGGGCTGCAGAGAAGGATGAACAGAGTTCAAACCAGACGAAAGCTTTCATATTGTCTCTATGATATCCAGCTGTGATATCCAGCTGTATAAGATCACTCCAAAACTGACAAGATGCAATCAGGAAATATTAAAAGGTGTGATTTTAGTGACCAAAGGTAAAAAAGATATTCAAATGGTGTGGTGGAATCCTTTTACTCACAGTCAGCATGTCTGTGTTTATGTTGGGAGGATCCAACAAACGGGTGACCGACTCCATAAAGACAAAGAAAGCGATGACCATCAGGAACAGGCCGTTGATGAATCCGGAAAGAATTTCAACACGACCGTACCTGCAAAACCACAAAACACTCAGTTTATTAAGAATCCAGCTGGAGGTAATGTTCTTCAATTTTACGATCACGAGTTCTTGATGGATTTTACCCGTAGGAGAAGA